CATTTACATTACTAAGCAAACGACGTAACGTTGTGAAAGAAAAGTTTACTGATATGGCAATATAAACATGAATCATTCAGGTCATTAGCAATAGCATATGAAACTTTTAAGAATCAATTCATTTTATAACCTAATCCACATTCTTCCAATTTTATTTAAAATCTTAAAAATATAAACACATCGAATTTCAGACAAAAAGGTTGATTATGATAGGTCAGTTTTGTGTGATTTACATTATCGTTTCATGTAGCATATCAAAGTTTTTGTTTATATGATTCATGTGATTTTCATTGTAACATTTTGATAGCTTGTGCTTAGTCGAAGAACCAGCTGCGTGAACCAGCATCGGAGGAGGATGTTCTGCTAATACTCATGTTTAAGTACACATAAGATAGTAACATTTAAGTGTTTCTAATGTGAAATTATATGTACTTACCATTTGTTAGACATCCAGAGACATGATTGCACAGGTCCTCTCTACACATACAATGTTGTTGACAATTGTGGCCATAACTTGGGTATCGACATTTATTTTCACATTTGATTCCAAAGAACCCAGTTTGACATACTTGAAAAAAAAAACAGGCATAAACTATTAGTGTTCTACCAGGACCTTCTTATTAGAGGAAAAAGTGACATTTGTTATGATGTCAGACATATTTTGTTTACAAGTTCTAAATATTTAAGTACATGTATAATCTTTTGATTAAAATGAAGTGGTAATATTTTCAACTTTGTCATTGCTTGTTATCGTAAAGCTTTTAATACTTTAAAGCATATCTTAAAATCGGGTTTAAAAAAGTATTACTTGAAATTTATAGAAACAATTTTTTTTAAAAAGTGAATGACTGTTTATAAATGAATATTCCTTGTTTTGAAATACAGCTTACTGGTGCCTGATATTGATGTCGGAGAAAGAGTTTGAGAACCATCTACAAAACAGTAATCAATAAATAAAATTAGAACAAAGTTCACAAAACATGTAAATTAACCATTTCTTCAATATTTTTGATACGTGTTTTATATCTTAAGGTCTTATGTGTTTTATATTTTAAGAAATGTTCCTTGTTTTGAAATATAGCTTACTGGTGCCTGTAATTGCTGTCGGGTAAAGAGTTTGAGAACCATCTACAAAATAGTGATTAATAGATAAAAATACAACAAAGTAAATTAAACATTTATTCAATATTTTTAATACGTTTTTTTTATATTTTAAGATCCCTTTGTTGCAAAATTCAAGTGAAGTTTGTCGTCAATGACCAACAGTATTAATAAGACCACAAATAATTGTGTTGATATCAGCCTTAAAAACGTTTTCTTGACTTTCCAAAACATCTTTCCATTCTCATTTTCCCCTCAAAAGTCTCAAAATCATAACTAAAATCTAACTGTAAGATAGGATTCTTCTCATATTTCTTGTATCTAAAAATTTACGAAATTTTCACAGAATCAAGGAGAGACAATGTCACTGAGTGATGGTATCAGTGAGATTAAAGTTGACCGTTTTATATAATTGAGGTAAGGTCAGGTCAAAAGCATGGCCTTTTCCCTGAATATTAAGAATAAAAAAATATTGTTACCGATTTTGCGATCCTTACTAATATTTCAAAAGATTAAATGTTTTTTCTTCTTTTTTCATAAAAAGATACTACGATACAGTGCATATAAGGTGATATTGCCAAATTGACAAAAATGATTCAACTTAAATCATGGATATTGACTTATTCGAATTTTCTCTACTTTTCTTAAATTTTTAGTATTTAATAGTTACCTTTTTATGCTTTCTATATTTAAATTTTTCTTATTTTCACATATGGTAAAGTTGTAACAAGAAGATGCAATATAATACAAAAGCAAAAACTTTTGATCATTTACTAAGAGAGAGAAAAAACTTTTTACGAATTTTTGGCTCAAATCTATACTTATGTTGAAAGCTTTTAAAACCTAACATAGCTCTAATTTGTTTGAAAAATCATATTTATTTGATCTATCTTGAAACATTAGTTCCTTATTATCGATTTATATATCTTACTCTTGAAAATTCTTTCAAGTCGTTAATTGTGTAAAAATTATAACTATATTCATTGTTCTATAACAATTTTGAGACACCGAGAAGATATTTTCATACACAACCATTCCCCTAAAAAAAAAGGCCATGGTAGTTTTCAAACGCAGATAACCTTTTTTTATTTAAATTTGTAAACTTGTGATAAGGAAGGAAACATATGGTCTTTTAAATCTCTTTCACCTAAATATAATTATAAACCATGTAAGCAAATATACTTTGAATATGCTATCTTGTCAGAAACCAGAGAAGAATCCTACCTTAATCCTTTTGCCAGAGTTTGACGTATATAAACTATATATCGATAAAATGAGACTATAAACATTTTACTGTTTCATTTCTAAATTACAAGCCAAACTTAAAAAAAATATAATGATCCTTTTTAGCTATATATTGCGTTATTTGTTTATCTTTTGAAATACAGTTACATTACTCTGCTTAATTTAAATTGAGGTCCCATGGATGTTCAAAATTGAAATAGGTGCTTTGTAGTTGTACTTGGATGGATTTTAGTGGGAAAAAGAAAGCATTTTGAAAAAGGTTCAAAATTTCATGATTTTGGATTACGTATTGTTGTACAGACATGCCTTGGCATCCGTTTTCTTTATCACAATATTCCTTCACACAATTACACGTTTCCTGGCATCCTTTTCCAAACCCTGGATAACGACAAGGGAGTTCACAATCTAGTCCTGTATAACCAGGGCCACAATCTAAAAAATAATAATTGAAAAATAGTAATTACTACACACAATGTAAAATAATAAAATAATATGGTTAAGAGAGCCTTAAAAGAATGGCATGCATGACGAGTAATTGATAGAGAGATTGCAATTGTTCGCTGTTTTAGTTTCCATTAAAGAGTTTTTCTAACACAAAGAGAACTATTCACGGTGGCTCAGTCGGTAGAGCGCTCGCTGCGTGATCGGGAGGACGTGAATTCGCGAACAGCCCAAGTCGATAAAAAATAGATAGGAACTGTTCCTTCGCCATGCGCTCGCCACTTGAGGTGAAAGTTGCGAGTCCTTGGGATGCGACCTTAAAAACCGAGGTCCCGTGTCACGGCAGGCGTTGGCACGATTAAGAAACCTCACTACTCAATGGACCTTAGTGCCGAGTAAAGATAAAAATTGTAGCCCTTCACTGGTATATTGTGATATCGCTTCATGAGTGAAAAATTCTCGAATGGCACGTAGAGCAACATAAATAAATAAATCAATCTTGCAAAGAGATTCCACCACATGCCGATGGAGTGCTTGAAATTTGATCTTTAGTTTTGCACCAATGTTATCGAGCAGTAATTGCTGAACTGTAGTTCTCTGCTTGAGAAAATTCGGACAGATAAAGCAGAGAGATCCAAGCGTTGTAAAAACCTTCGATTTACGCCTACGATATTTTGTCATTGCTTTAGCTATTTATTTCGTGTAGTTTAAGCTTTCTGTGGTTTTTAGAGTTGTATCCTATAACTAATCATATATCTAACTCTTATTTTTGATACTTTATATTTATCTTTTAACGGTCCGAAACAGTCATGTGAATAGTTCTGTAACGTCTGTTTCAAAAGAATTCCATCGAAACGTCCGTAATTAACCAGAAACAACCACTTGTTAGCGTTGAAGGGTAAATAAATTATAGGAATTGATGTTAAATATATGATGAATTATTATGTACCATTTTTAAAGCTGAGGAAAATAGAAAATACAAGAAAAATACCAAAAGAAAGTGACAAAAAATCGACGGCGTAAATCGAAGGTTTTTGCAAAGATCTGGATCTGTAGCTCTCTGTTTTTTCGGTCCGAATTTTTCAAGCAGAGAGCTACAGTTCTGCAGCTAATCGAGCATTTAAGGGATCTTTATCGGTAATACTGTATTGGACGTGACAAGGGACCTCCGATTTAAGGTTTCAAATAAAGAACCCACAACTTCCATATCATAGTGATGAGCACTGGGCTTAGAACAGGTCAGTCGCGGGAATCGTTCGAAGCAGCGACCTTCCGAGCACAGATATTTGGCGAGCGAGGATTATTTTTTCTGGTTACAAGAAAAGCCATTCGAAAAGTTTCTCAATATTACCAAGTTTTTTTTTTCGAACGTGTGATTGAAGTATTGCTTCTTTAAAATGTATCTTACAAGATATTTGTAAAAGTTACTAGAATACTTGTATTTCTAATATAACCTGGCATTATAGTATATGGGAATCGTCAATATTACAGTGTTTGGTGTTTTTTGCCTTTAAAACAATCTGAAAGCAGTTTATAAATCAGAAGATTATGTATAAATCTTTCACGTAGTTGAGGGTAACATTCAAAATTTTCACATCAAGAAATTGACAACCATTGTCAATCGAGACACAGCCGAGGTTGACAATGCTTTTCGAGTAGTGAAAATTTTCAATGTTACACTCAACTACATGCACATGCAAGATTTATTATATTATACTGAAAGTTTTATACAAAAACATATACCAGTGAACTGTGCGCGCATAAATTTTGCGAAATCGCTTTTTTTTTTGGAATATCACCCATCGTCAAGCACTATTGACTGTTGTTACGCTGGAGGGTATGGCTTCATTATTCAGCGGGTAATAGTTTTAAAAAAAAAAATTCTCGACCAATCCGATTCAACTAATTTACATGAACGTATGATATCCAGAAATGTTACATGTACAATCATATACAAAATCGGACATTTTACATTATATTGTCAGATTTTAATTTGTTACTTACCTTTAATAACTGCCGCATTAACAGTTGTATTTTTCCTTAAAATGAGGAATATATATATTATATTTGTGCTCAAATACATGTTTTAAACTTCTTTTATGGTCAAATACATTTGTACAATAAAGCCTTTTTAACTAGACAATGAAGTTTAAATTGAAATACGTGTCTTTAGATACTTTAAACTGTACATGAACAAAAGCATCAAATCTTACCTTTGAGGACTCTCATGAAAAAGATAAAAATGTATTAAAGTCAAATAGAAAATTAAAACATATCTTGCCAAATTTTCCATGTACGAAAGAGATACCATCATTTTCCATAAAAACCTAGTTTTTCTCTTTAATTCGACATCCCCAAAATGTGCTAAAATACGCATTACAAGGAAGAGTTTCAAGACGTGAACAAACAACTGTGTTATCAAAAATAAAGTGGATGCTTATTGCATCAGACAAATATATGATATTTAAATACGTAGAAAGAAATATTACAAACAATCTCTGATAAAGTTTTGAAAAGCATAATGATTAAAATATGTTAAAATTAATATTGCTAAAATGGGAATAATTATAAGAATTATAAATACATTGATGTAAGAAATGAATTTATTTGTTTCTCATTTTATATGGTGTCAACTGAGTTAGGACAGTTATGCCGTATAAAATGGGTAACTATTAAATTCATTACTTATAATTCAATTTTCATTCATTCGATGTAATAATAAAAGATGACTGTTCTAACAAAATGACTTCAGTTTGTACAAAATGTGAATGTAACGTCAGGCGGATTGATATATTTTTGACTAAAATCAATGTGACGTAGGCAACCCATTTTATACGATATAAAGTAAATTTTTCATCCAATCAATTACAGCGTTACAACCAGAGTTAAATTATTTAAAACTATTGTTGAAAGATTCGGCAGGTTGCAGGGAGGTTAGAGAGTGGTTGGATGGCTCCCTTGATAATATATTGCCAGTAAATATAGAATACATGACAAAGAGTAAGGACTAGACTTTTGTTTCCCTGAATTAATATATCCCCCGCCCTATTTTTACTCATATCAAGGCCTAGAGGGGCTTAAGTTATCTAAACCGATACACGTACTAGGTCATTGATTTATTCAGATTAAAAACAAAGAAATATAATAATTTTGTAGATAAGAACATTTCTAGAAAGAAAAGTGAAGCTTCGGATTCTATTCTATGACGAAGGAATAATGAGTGATGTTCCCCAACCGCAACGGTTGCTATTCAGAGATTTCGTGCTTTCACTTGCGTACCCCTTTTGAATTTAAGTTGATTTTTTTTTTTGGGGGGGGGTTAAAAATAAAAAAAATGAAGAGGGTCCTTCGCCAAAATGTTCATCTGAAGCTTAATTGGAAATAAATTGATGATATGTTAATCTCATTAAATTATACAATTGTATCTATTTTGTTGTCAATGCGATGATTCTGAATCCAAAGGAGTAAAAGATTTATCAAGCCCAAAGAGTCAGCTGAACCTTGGTTTCCGATGGTGGAAATTCATCATAGTGACAGAAAATTGCAGCAAAATAACATATAATAATACCCATAGTTTGAAAAGCGAGAGGGTATATTGTGATCGGAATGTCCATCCACCCGTCTGTTTAGCTGTACGTCCGTCTGTTACTTTTTTTGTAACCATCTCCTATCCACAACTCCTCTTATACCACTAAGTGAAGTTTGATGAAACTTTCACAGAATCTTTGATACCTAGAGCCATTGTGCATCTTTATTTTTACTTTTTGAACGGGCACAACATTTACATTTCCCATGGCAAAACAGACATTGCCATTCTTTCTATAATATTAAAGAGTAGCCATCTCTTATCAAAACTCCTCCTATAGCACTGAATAAAATCTAATGACACAGATGCTTTATTACAAAATGTCATTGTGCACCTCCTATTACACGTTTTGATCTGACAGGAAAGTGGGAGGGTATTGAGGATAGAGGTTTCCGTCCGTCTGTCTGTACGACCGTTCGTCTGTTACTTCAAAGGAATAACAATTATCATAGTATGCAGTATATTTTCCCTTTTCATGTGTATTTTTTATTACTCTAAAGGGGGTCATTTTTCAACGGGGTTCAATTATCTAAAGAACTCAAATATGACCACATAATGACCGTTTGGTTAGGGGTTGATTTTTGTCGTTGAAAATTCACCCCCTGTTATAATTCGATGGGAGTCATTATTCGTCTTTACACTGACAAAACCTCCTTGGACAATATGTTAGCCCATTATAAAAAAATTATTCGGAGTGTTTCTTATGCCTAGGTCAAATTGAAGCCGATGGTCGGGCGACCTAATTTTTCCGGTCTTGTCGGTTGAAAGAACAGGATCGGTCGACACAGTATCAGGCGACACGGAGCAGTAACATTATACCCTAGGGACGCCGATGACTTGGATAAAAAAATCTTTTTCTTTAGAAATCATCAATATTTTTAAATAGATGTATATTCAGATATAGGTGACGTGAGTAATGTTTGCAAGGCAAAGTTGCAGTCTCTTATAAAATTGTGCCCCAATGTTGAAAATGTGTGCAAAATTTGTTTGGAATTGCATAAAAACGACAAATGGTGCATATCTAAGCAGCAAAGAATACTGAAGATTTTGTTACATCTTACGGATCAATTATTTATGTTTTTTCCGTTCAAAAAAATTATATGAATCCATGTATCAAAATTTTTTTTGTGCTATGTATCCTTTATAGGTTAAATATTCCGAAGTCGGCCAATCGTCGCCCTATCATCGAGCTCTGAGCTACAGTTTGATTTTAACCATCGGCCGAAATTTTCAACGCCCTTATTGTCCAACGACGGACGACCGACTCAATAAACTGACCGCTGATGGTCGGACGATGATCAAAGGTTGGTCGACGGATAACTGCAGTTGAAGAAATTGGCATCGACGCATGAAAAATTATAACTTGGACCGATGGACACAAAATTGGTCGGCCGACAAAAATAGGTCAAAATCGGCCAAGACAACTGTCGAACTGCCACCCAAAGAATCTCATTTTTGCTTCAAAGCCCGTCGGCCGTTGGTCGTTTTTGGAAATGTAACCGGGGGTTAAGTGACAATAAGTCAATTAATGAACGAAGAAAAATACCCCAGACACTTTCTTTTTCCCTCTCTTTAAGTCATGCAAACTGTAAGATTAGTTCAACCGTGGTTTTAAATAATAATCATTTAAAAAATATATTTAATTTAAACTTCTTTCTATTTAATTTCAAATTGGCTGCAATCCTTTTTGTCAAAAACTAGCCTATGATCAGAGAGAGAGAGAGAGAGAGAGAGAGAGAGAGAGAGAGAGAGAGAGAGAGAGAGAGAGAGAGAGAGAGTTGTTATAGCGACACGGGAAGTTGCAGCACCGGCGAGAGAAATTATTTTCTTTAAAACAGCTATATTGATATATATTTTTTAAAGGTTGTTGCCAAAAGGCGAAACGGAAACCGAACGTGGAAAATCTGATACCGACTATTTAGTAACTTAGGTATATCTCGGACATAAAAAAAACATTAATTTCTATGTCAAACGCAGTAATTTAAATCAAGCGAGAGGTAAGGAACCCTGGAATTACCGGGAAAATAAAAAAAGGTAAGCACAAGTACATCAGCGTTGATGCTATCCATCGATACCTGAAACGGGGAATAATAAAAATTCCATACATGGTCAAACTTTAAGTTTCTCAAATCCACATTATTGGTTGCCAATTGTAAGACGTTATAGCTTTGACGTCAAATGTACATTAACCTTATCAAGAAATGTACTTACTGTATGTACATTTTTGTGTCAAATAAACCTTAACATAATAAATGTTAAGAGGGGACCTATGTCCGAAAAGTCTTTGTGTGAAGTTTTCAAAACTTCGACATTTCTGTCATGGCAACTTGCTCTTAACTTTTAGGTATTAAAAACAACACCTTTATATGCTTATTTTTACACAGGAGCAAGTGCAAAAACAGTGTGAAATGCTAAAAATAGATTATTTTCAGACATTACTGTACTACCCCAAATATGTGCTAAAAAGAACCAAAAATGTCAAAACACATTTAAAATCAACAAGTATTTACATTTTTTGACTTGTATCTTTAAAATAAAGGTAAAAACATTGTAATTAATCTCGTATGAAAAATTATAATAGAGCACTATGTAAGTATTACCCCATTTTTCTTGTCGTATTTTTTTTTTTAAATTTCGACATGCATAATAGGTAATATCTTAAAGATTCTTTGTGTGAAAATGTTGTAACTCATATTTTATGAAAGAAATGAATTATCTCTTTATTTTAACAAAGAAAAATTTATACATCTATGATAAAATAAATGAGAAATATGAAATTTTCTTTTATTTTCGTACTCTTGTGTCATAAACATTGACCTTTCTGCACTAAGACAAAGGTAAGTAAGCACTGACAAACATCTGAATATAAAACTATTTTGCGGAAAACAAGAATTTTATTTTGATTATTAACAATTTACACCGTTTTAATCTTTTCTTTTTCATCCCAATCATTCTGTTTCTATCCCTCCCCCTTCCCCGTCAACAACCAACACCTATCATAACTAGGAATAACTTATACAATTAAATCTAAATGTACTAATTAATAACCAAATATAGGTACACGTACATTTTTTTCCTTAGTTTTATCGAGAAAAAGCAATTAATGGTAAACATGAAATTAAACATACTACCCTGATTAATCCGTCTTCTTTGCTGAATTTTATCTTATCTTTTTGTACTTGTATCAGCATATTATTGAGGTATCTTTTCACATCTGAAATTGCTATAAATCATCAGCCAAAGGAAGAGAATTCTTACATTAACAAATTCTATAATTCAAATAAAACTGCTATTAATGATGTATAAATTTTCTTTTTGTACGTTATTGATTATAAACAATGTTTAACCTATATCAGAGTTGCAAAAGTCAACAGATAAAAACCAACGTCGCTATTGTGACGTCACATAACACTGCTTTGACTTAGAATGACATAGGTCCCCTCTTAAATATTAATTGAATTATAGACGTAATTTATGGTTTTGGATGTCCATTTTTGCATTAGTAATGATTAAGGAAGATTTTTTTTCATACTTCCTTGACTTTGGCGGAAGGCCGGAAGGCAAATGCACGAGTTTTGTTTTCCATTCAGATCTCTTCTTTTCTATAAAATATATATTCATTTTGAAAATCATATTTTTAAAAGCCAAGAAATACCAACCAATATGCATTTTTAAAAACTTACACAGAATTTAGTAAGGAATGATATGAAAATACATGTAGTACAAGACGCTGTTAAAGATTCGTCATTTCTTAAATACTAAAACAAACTGAAAGTTTATTATGTATTTCTTTTGAAACACTGAGTAAAAAAATCTTATATTTATTAGTAAATTAAGAATAAAAAGTGATTAGTGATATCGTATAAATAAACAACAAATTATACAATATGTATTTCAATGTTTCTTTTCTTCTGACACACACCAGTGTTGCTACAAATCTGATAAAGACTGAAAAACATACAAGCAACACTAATCATTCCTATAGTTATTTTGAAAAGGACAGGCTTTCTGCTCACGCGAAACGCTCTGTTTACGCAATCAAGATCTACAAAATAAAAACTTTCTTCAATTTTTTAAACGAATATATATAAAGATAATCATCACATAAATTAAGTAAAAAGAAATTAATTATCATCAATTAAGTCTATATTTATTTTACAAATGTGCAAATTAAAGTAAAAAAACGGATCTTTTCTGATATAAGGTGATGTAGTAGCTTTACCTCTATATGGAGTTAAAACGGTATTCTTCTTCACTAATTCTCCAAACGAAGTAGACGTCAAATTATCTGTTTTATTCAACCAAATGTCTTGATGACTGTAAGTGTTTTGATGTGATAAAGTTGTCAACGATAACGAAGTGTGTGTCTGTGTTGTTTTAAATGACTATTAAAGTATAAGAAACTTAAAGTCATTTTTGTTATAATTTCACTAAAAGTACTTTTTAAGCACGGAAGACCACTTAATTTTAAGTTTTTAATTTTTATGTTTTTGTGTATGGGGTTAAGGTGGGAGAAGTTATTCATAATTAAAGGTTAATTGTACATTTACAAATATACATCATGAAGAATGTTCTTTTTATCGATAAATTTGAGATGTCAATATATAACTATTTGTCTTTATATGTAATAATCAAAGTTGCATATCATATCATATCGTCAAGAGATTAGGCCACTTTTTAGCTTTTTTGCGCGTAAATTTTGCGCGAAACCTCTCATATTTTTTTAATTATGTCAACTAGCTTTTAACGCTAATTGAATTTATTTCGAAAAGTTCCATCTAATTGATTAGAAGATAGTGCTAACGGCAGATGTGACCGGTCAATGGGGGATGCCTACAGTTCCAATTCACCTTATTGCACATGCGGAATTTCCAGGGATTGGTGTTTAAGACCTCTTCACAAATTGAATTTGTTTACATATTTAATATTAGATCTATCACTTTTCTTTATCTACATGTTAACCATATTTGTAACAAACTTGGTGTCACTCATATTATGTAGCATGTAACTGTTTTAAAATGTTGAGCGTCTCGGATGAGGTGACTGTATATTTATTTGGTAATACACCGTATCATCTACGTTTTCTGTGCTTTCAATTAACCCCCACTTTTCTTAAAAAGATTTTTTTTAATAATGCACGTTAAAGCATTCCTTTAGTATCCTTATCTTGGATATACGTAATTATATCTTCATATTTAACATTTAAGGTCAGACGACACGTTCCTCATAAATATATAATTTTTCCTAAGAATTTGTCATTGAAGTATAGGTACCTAAACAAGATTCCTTGCAAAAAATTAGGGTACCATACCAGGCATTTGGAGACTTTACCATTGGGTAAAATTTCTTATATATCCCTTATGGGTAATCTTCTGGATGACCTTTATCACCAATTTTGGTGTACTTAAATTTAAAAACATTTTGAAAACAGTGTAGAAATCAGAAGACAATGACAAATATGAATATTTTTTAATAATACCAAGAGATACAAAACATATATATGAGGAACGTGTCGTCTGACCTTAACTGAAACCCCAGCTCTAATTCTTTACCTGGACATCCAAATATATTTTTACAGAATTCCGAACTACCGGTACATTTACATTCTCCCTAACAATCTTTGCCATAATTTGGATAACGACAAGGTTGTTCACATGATGTTCCAAAATACCCATGGGGACAATCTATAAAAAGCAAGGTTTTTAAATCATTGTAACTATGAACCTACATAAATAAAATGTAGGATTCTTTGAATATCAATATAAATTGGAATTTCTTTTAGAAATTTGGTAAAATCTATTTGTTTAAAATTTAAATATACATAATAATACCTTCCGTATTGGCGGAACATACATGCACATGGTGGCAATTTTCCTTTTCAAAAGAACATTGAGAAATACAATTAACACCAAAGAAAGGAAATGGACACTTAGTGCGCTGATTTTCATCAATGTAACCGATTTTAAACACTGTGAAAATTTCAAAATGACTATGAATTTATGTTAATTTCACTTTGTTTTAACAGTTGTATATATTATAATAATTAATTTGTTCTATAAAACAAAATACCTTCAAAATCTCCCGTACTTTTCTTCGTATCGAGCGTTCTCGAAAATATTGATTCTCTAGAAATATGAAAAGATAATTTTTATTAGTTGACAGGCAGATGTATATTTTGGATTATATAGATGTCCCTCACTTGTTAGAAAATGAAAACTTACAGAAATTATCAAAATAAGGTTTACCCATTCGAAAAAAGCCAGGTGATCCATACGTAACATATAATTTTTTTCAACATTGAACACACCAAGCTCACAGAACATATTGAAGAGTATTGAGGCATATTCTGCGGTATCTTGACCGTGTAAAATGGTTTAAACGCCTATATCCCACGTAAAGGTCAGAAGTGCCATTATCGAATAGTTATTTACAATCAATTCGGCTATTTCAAGAGTTAATGTCCCAGATTTCTGAAACGGAAACGGAAAAAGGATGTAAATGCATTTATTAATCTAAAAAGAGGTGACAATTTTATGCTGATTACAACAGTGTTCTTAAGTCAAGTTACAATTCTGAAATAAAAAAAAATGCTAAAAGTTAGCCATTAACCATGATTTTAGCTAATTATTGCTTTATTGTATATGTTTAATATATTTTGCACAATCTCTATTGGAGACTTCTTTCTTTAAAATGATAACCTTTTTATTAGGTCACCTGAGTAACTCAGGTGACCTATTGCTATCCGTTTTCGTCCGTCGTCGTGCGTCGTAGTTCGTGTGTTAACAGTTGAACATTTTCATCTTCTTCTCTGAAACCACTGAACCGATTTCAATCAAATTTGGTATACAGCATCTATGGGTAAAGGGGAATAAAAAATGTTTCATGGTCGCCGCCCCCTTTGGGCTAAGGAGTGGGGGTAAAAACCACTAAAATTTTTGCAATTTTTAAAAACCTTCTTCTTTACTCCTGGACATCAAGCAGGCAAACTGTTGGCATGATTGTAATGAGCACTGAGTCCTCTACCAAAATTGTGAAATTCATGGGCCCAGGTTTAGGGGTTCTATTGCTAGGGCGGGGCTATAAAGATTATGTAGTGAAAATGCATTATTTCTTTAAAAATATTCTTCTCTGCTCCTGGGTATTAAATAAACTAGCAAAGTACATAGTTATGATGAACAAGAGTGCCTCTTCAGATTTGTGAATTTTATTGCCCCAGGGTAAGGGGTTCTGGTGTAAGTGCGGGGCTCTATTGATCATATAGTGAAAATGCATTTATTTTTTGAAAAGCTTCTTCTCTGCTTCTGAGTATGAAATTAACTAACTAAGCACATAGTTATGACGAGCAGGAGTGCCTCTTCCAAAATTGTGAATTTTATGACCCTAGGATCAGGTGTTCTGGTGTAAAGGCGGGGCTAAATTCATTAGATAGTGAGAATGCATTAATTCTTTGAAAATCTTCTTCTCTGCTTCTAGGTTTTAAATAAACTAACTAAGTACATAGTTATGATGTGCAAGAGTGCTCCCTATAAAATTGTGAATTTTATGGCTCCAGGGTCAGGGGTTTTGGTGTTAGGACGGGGCTCTTTTGATCATATAGTGAAAATACGTTAATTCTTTGAAAATCTTTTTGTATGCTTCTGGATAATAAATAAACTAAGTACATAGTTATGATGAGCAAGAGTGCCTCCTATAAAAATGTGAATTTTATGGCCCCAGGGACGGGGGTTTTAGTGTTAGGGCAGAGGTCTATTGATTATATAGTGAAGATGCATTATTCTGCGAAAATCTTCTTCTCTGCTTTTGGGTATTAACTAAACTAAGTGCATAGTTATGATGAGAAAGAATGCCTCTTTCAAAATTGTGAATTTTATAACCCAGGGGTAGGGGATTCTGGTGTTATGGCGGGGCTCTATTGATTATATAGTAAAAATCCATTAACACGAACCAAATTTAATTGTTTGAAAGTTGTTACACAATACTCAGGTGACCTATGAGGCCCGTGGGCCTCTTGTATTGTTAAGAGATACATTTTTGCAAAAAAATTTTCTTGTTATTAAAAATGATAGTAATCTTCAATTTTAAACAATAAATTAACCTACACTTTTTCATAAACATGTCTTTTTTATTCCCTCTCTCTGTTGACCAAATAATCTGTCCTGGCCTTATTTCAAATATTTGAATGGTCAGGTTTTGTCTGATTGAAGTAGATTTCAAGTACACCAATTCCCTTAGATGGTTCATATCCACTTTTAGTCTAGAAAGGATAAATTTCATCGTCTTTGGTCCTGAACTTTAATTTACATCTCATTTCACGTGTGAGTTCATCAAAATCTTTAAGTCATTTTTACAACTTTTGTTGAAGGTGTTGGGATTAATTTCTCCCCTTTTGCTAGCAATAAGTATTCACTATCTGTTCATTTATTTTTGGTCAAATTGGATACATGTTCCCTTGCATAAAGAACATCCGAGTAAAATTTCTATTTTTCGGGCTTTGTATTATATTGCTCTTATAGATCGTTTATAGATCGTTTTCTTCTTCTGATGTTTCGATCGACACGACGTGCCATTCTGGTGGCTGTGTAAGTGAAAATGATAGCAAATGTTTGCACGTGGTAAAACCAATGACAGCGCATGCGTATCAATTCTGTATGCATTAATGAAATAATCCAGATGTACTCATGTTGAACTAAGCAATAAAAAGTTGATGACACAGTTTCATTACCAAAAGGCATTATCAATGATATTGCAAAATTGCAAAAAAAAACTTTATTTAAGGAATCACTGTCTAGTTACAATGTAGTATAGTATGCTAGGGCATCAACAATAGTGGGAAACAATAGATAATTTGCATAACGGGCTTCGTAAATTACCCCATGTTTCCCACTATTGTTGATGTCGCTGGCCATGGCATACTATACTAACTAGACAGTGATTCCTTATATTTCCATTTCATTGTGAAATTAAATTGAAGATTAAGACTTTAAAAATGTAGACATAGATTTAAATTATACAAGGACTCCCATGCCAATTTCAACAGTTATCGCCCACTGACGTCAAACACAAAGGCAGCCAAACGAGATGTACATGCATATTTGGCCTCCTTAGCGTCAAACACAAAGACAGATGCGCACGAGATTTTCATGCATATTAGGCCTCTTAGCTCCTGACCTATCGACCTGCCTAATTTACATTCTGGTAGAATTATCAAGAAATCGACTCTGCTTACTTTTAAATAGTTATCACAGAGAACAAAACTAGAAGTGGAAATATTCATTGATAATTCACAGAACATGTTAACTTTGTCAGAGTAGGAAATCATAAGCGAATGACAATTTGAAGAACTGAAATATTCCCATAGGGATTAGTTCGTTTGTGTTGAGTGTGATCACATTATAACAGTGGGAAAATAGAGTCACTTTAGGACACTATCATCAGTTCAGCCGCGTGTGATACACTAAAATTTTAATACAATACGAATGAACAGTTTATTCACTTAATAAGGCAAACATTTTCTCATTTTATGTCCTTTGCCTTTGTCTCCTCTATATGAGAAACCGGTACTGGATTTGTGTTTGTTTTTCAATCCAACGGCTCCTAGTAAAGTTTATGCTTTATTTGCATTCATCCGAGTATTCAGCTCTCTTCGGGATGAGCCCAAAAATAAAAGTACCTGCTCCAAATTTTTAAAGCCTCCTGTCTGATTTCTGTTTATTCAGTAGGAGGCCTAGAATTTTTGTCTCTAAAAATTTGATGGATTCTTGCATGAATTCCATCTTCAGAGAAGTTTCTTTTTCTTCCAAAGAGATTGGAAGAAAATGTCAATGCCCTTATCTTCAGGATAAGGATGCAGCGGATAATCCATATAAATTTATAAATTGTGACAATGTTTTATTTTTCATTGAAACATAGATTCCCTCTCGGGCAAAGGCCAGTTAATGTCGTTGTGCGGGTGTGGGTTATACACCCTGATGAACTTACAAAAATCAAAAGAAGAACTTTAAAATTTTAACAAAATTTAATAACAAAATTAAAGAACAAAGTAAACAGAAATTTTAGCAAAGAATTTAACCAAAAAAAAATGTACAAAAATAAAATAAATTGAAAATGTCTTTGTTAATTGGTCCTGGTCCTCAGTCAGTCAGTGCGCATGTCCCTTGGTATGAATAGGTCCCGTTTGTCCTGGTCCTTCCGTAAGTGCGGAAATCCTTTAAGAATAGATTTTTACAGTTTCCTTTTTGTATGGCTGCACGGAACAATGTTAATTAATAACGGGCTGCGTGGCACACTGGGTTCCTCTCGGGTTCCAGAGACAATGGTCCGACGCCAGGCTCAACACTTTGAAATGTCTTTCAATGAAACTAAATATTCAGAATTATTTCCAAATTCACAATAGTTATAATTCTCAAACTTTCACAATGTTTCGTTCATATAATAACTTTAACTCAGATAATGAAATGTTCAGTGAGGGTCACCGCCCGATGATATACTAGTAACTCACAGAACGGGTTTTAGAGATGTGTCGTACGGGCCGCCATAGTTCACTCACACGCTACGGTCTCTGTCACACACCATAACATGGAAATGGCTACTCTCAAATAAAGAATTTCAGTACCCGACAGTTTACATACTCTGTAACATTCTGTAGAGAGACTTTAGGCATGAAAATAAGGCATAAGACCCATGTGGTTTTCTATGGACAGGCCCCCTGGTAGCACTAGACGAACACGTCTATCGGCTGATGTTTTTCCCGGGTACTACTCAGAGCACGCTTTAACCTTACTATTTAAAGTAAAACGAGGGGCTCCCCACAGGGCTGCTATGTTACTATGGGAACTAAAGGAATTTAGGGGCTCCCCACAGGGTTATTACACAAGTTACCGGAAGGGTGAACCCAGGGGATTTATTTACAATGTAATGAAGAATTTCAGTTTGTTACATACCTCCCCCTTATAAGACTAAAGACCATTTAGTCCGACCAAACCTACAAACTGAAAATTAAAATAAACAAACTCAGACTATTTACAACAAAGCATTATATATACAATATACCTGCAACAAAAGTAATCTCAGATAATTACTCAGCCACATCATCTGAACATAACCTCGATAGTGAGTCTGCTACTGTATTCTGTGTACCACGAATATACCTAATCGAGAACACAAACTCTTGCAAAAGAAGACTCCAACGTAACAAACATTGATTTGATAATTTTGACCTTTGTAACCATTGCAAAGGTGCATGATCAGTCTCAATTTTGAATGGTTTACCTTCTAGATAGACTCTGAGACTCTGGACCGCCCACACAATAGCAAAGCACTCTTTTTCTACTACAGCATAATTTCTCTCCGCAGGACTGAACTTTTTGCTAAGAAAACAAATTGGATGCTTACCGTCTTCAAACTCTTGCTCTAGCACCGCACCTGCCCCGAATGCACTTGCATCTGTGCGCAAAATGAATGATCTACTGAA